CCCCAGCTCTCCTGTAGGCACCTTCTGGTACTAGCAGGCCCCCAGCAGGTCTCCCCAGCTGGAGCCTTCTCCTCTGGGGCTGCCCCAGCCCAACTCTCTCCTGCTGGGCTCCCAGCAGAGGGGTTCCCCCCTCGGGGCATTGCTGGGGCTCCTCTGGCCCCGCTCCAGCAGGTCCCTGGCTCTGCTGTGCTGAGGACTCCAGAGCTGCCCCAGCACTGCAGGGGGGTCTCCCAGAGCTGGCAGAGGGGCAGGATCCCCTCTCTCCATCTGCTGGCCACAATTCTTTTGATGCAGCCCAGTATGCAATTTGCCTTCTGGACTGATCTGGACAAGTCTTTGGGCTTCTCTAACTTTTATTTAAACAATATTTTTCTCTGATGTATGAATTGCATCCTTTTTAAGGGCTAGGACTTGTGTGGGACTCTCTTCACCTGGCAAGCTCCAAGGCTGTAAGCAATCATTTCCATCTGGAAATGGAAGTGCCCTCATGTTCCATGGCCAGAACCCAGCTGCAGTTAGTAATAATGTTTATAATGTGCCTCCAAAGATGCAAGGCACCAGCTTCAGGTTGTGAAGGCTTTTGCCCCTGCTGTTCCCACCAGAATGCTGTTCAAACCCCCACTGTCTCTGATGGCTAGAAACATCCTAATTTCCAGCCTACACATATTCATGGCTGGTCTGCACATAACTTATTCTTAATATCATGTTTTAGCATAAATAGATTTTCTCTTTTGTTGGTATTTTCCCTGTGGTGTTTCTGTAGAATAATCAAATCCTCCTTTTGGCTTTCTTTTTGCCAGGCTAAACAAGCCAAGATATTTAGTTTCCTCTTACAGGATAGCTCCTCCTGCCCTAACCCTTCACAGTATCTTATTTGAACTTAAATTACCCACAATTTACAAGTGATTCAGATGAGATCTTGCTAAGCCAAATATAATAGCAGCAGCTCATCTCTGCTAGAATTACCTGATATTTTCTGGAGTTGCATTTAGCTTTTTCATGGCTGTGTCACACTCGTGACTCAGTTCTCATGGGATGGACTAATAAATCTGGACCCTTCACCTCTGTCATCTCCAGCAGCTGCCAGCTGGCAGCAGAAATTCTCAGGATTAGCCCAGTCCCTGGTCTTGCATTTCATGCTGTTGAATTTCCTCTTGTTTTCTCACTCTGGTTCCTGAGGTCATTTACTTCCTCCTCTCTGATAGCCCAATCTTCTTTTTTACCAAGGTTGCCTCTAAAAGCTTCAGAAGGGCCTTCTAAACACTCTCTTCCTTCTGTGCTGAGGTCATTAATAAAAATTGGGTTGGAACAGGCTCCAGACTGACCTTTCAGGGACTGCAGCAACAGCCCCAGAGTTGAGTGGGGATATCTTTGCCTTACCCAGAGCTTTCCTCACTCCGGGGCTGCTGTAGGAATCCACAGTTTGTCATTTCCCACGTGGTCCCTTGCTAGTGCTTCATGAAGCAGAGTCTGGGGCTGCCCCAGTTCCCTCAGCACTTGTCTTGCCAGGGAAGGCTGTTGTGTTAGTCACACATGATCCACTCTTGATGAGCTTCTTTTTCATTTTCCTTCCATTTTCTTTATTACTGCAGTATAGCAGCATGACTCTTGGACCCCTCAGTGGGCTTTCTGAGTGCTCCCTATTGCACCAGCCCTGAACAAAACTCATCCCTGCCCCAAGGAATGCATTACAACTTTATCCTTCCCTTATTTCTTCTGAGGACTTGCAGGGTGTTGAGTTTGTCACGGGTCTGTCCTGCTCAATGGTTTCACAGCTCTGTTTCAGGTCCTGGATTTCTCCAGACTCACAGCTATGGCTCCTACCTCCAATGCAGAGGTCATAAATTTATGCACAGTTTGCAGATCTGGAAAATACACATTTAATGTTGATGTAAAAACCCAGCTGTGTCCCTCTCTATTTAGAAAACGTGTATTTAGACATGCTGCAATGTAGGGAACACGTCAGTGAATTTCAGCTCTTAAAGTGAAGGGGATTTTAGCTCCTGGTGGACTTTGCTGTGCTCCTGCTTGCTTCTCTTTGCTCCAGTCCTGGAGGGTGAAGGTCCATCTCACCTCTCTCAGCTTGGACTTGGTCTATCCCTGCTGGGTCAGTCTTCTGCACCCTCTTGAGAGCTATAGCACTTATAAAACTTGGAGGTGAAGAAGGAAAAGGGAGAAGCTTGGAGATATGTCCCAAAAATCTTAAGAAGAAATCACTGGTAGTGGCTATTGTCAGTAGAGATGCAACTTGGATGGTAAAATACTGCTGGGTGTATGTCTGAGCATGTCTGTCCCTGAGAAAATCCTCCACAGGACCAAGACCATGTGTGCTAATATTCTGATACTCTCCTGGTTTTATTCACTGATTATTCAGCCTCAATTTCTTCCTACTGTAGGAGTTTCAGATCCCCTCCTCAGTCATTGCCCAGCTCTTCACTGCCAACAAGAGGATTTTTGGCTGTTCCCTGAAGACAGCGTGTGACATTAAGCCTAGGGAGAGTTGTCCCCAATTAAGGCCTTATTAGAGACTTCAGAGTAATCTAACCCACGTAGCCTTAGTGGAGACTTCAGAGTAACCTGACGTGTGTCCTTTGTTCTGCATCAACAACCGTGCTGTGGCCAGCAGCGGTGCTTGGGCTCACACAGTGTGTGTCAGGTCTCCTTCTGCTGTGGAGAATACAATCCTATATGAAAGATTCTGCTGCAGTTTACAGTTAAAATGTCTTTCCTCTGTAGGAGCATGGGTGCACAGCTCTTATCACAGGGGCAGAACCTCCCAAGCTGACTCCTCTCCCCCTCAGCCATTACAAGTTTCACATTATCACTGGCAGTTCAGACTGCTGAGAGTCAGTGACTTTGGGGTTTTGGCTGGGCTCTGTTTTAAACTTCCCTTCACAGGAGGGATTTAAGAATAATGAAATACACAGTACACACACCCACAAGTTTGTCTCAGGGCAGTCCAAGTGCTCGTCCATGGGCAGGGGAGTGATTGGTGTGGTGTTGGTTCCCAGTGCCGTGTGTCTCCACCTTCCTGACTGCCCCGCTGCCAGCGTGTGGCATTAGACTGGTGATCATGGCTGGGAGGAAGAAGACTTTATTCTTGCCTAGTGGGGGGCTTTTCAATCTCACAGACAAAGGCACAACAAGATCCAGCCACTGAAAGCTGGACAAATTCAACCTTGAAATAAGACATGGTTTCTTAGCTGCAAGGGAGATTAAAGTTTGGAACAGCTTGGGAGAGGAAGCGGTGGCGTTGGCATTGCTTGGAGCGTGGACAAGATTTGCTATCTCTCTGAGAAAGGGTTTCTTCCCTCCAGCTTTTGGGGAGGGCTCTGTGATTTGTGTGTGCAGGAGGTCAGCAGAGAGGAGTGCAGCAGCACTGGCTGGTCTGGGCGGGTGAATTACTGGCTGTGATTAAATGACCTTCTTTGCTTTGGGTCGGTGAACTTCTGTAATAAAAGGATTGGCTGCAGGATGGAGGGGGCTGCAAGATGAAGCAATATCTGAAAGGAAATAAAAATGACCATCAGTCTTCTGTCTCTTCAACTGTTAATAATTAGAGTGTTGCTATTTACCGTGTGGTTAAAACCTGCATAGATGTTGATACTGAAGCATTTCAGAGGCAGAAGAGGACTTTGATTCTAAGCTGCTCTCTGGTTTTTAAGGATCTTTCTCGTTAAGGTGTTTGTCACTTAGCCATATATTCTTCATCAGAGCCCATTTGGTATCGATTCTCCTCTGGAAGGTGGTGGGAGTGGAAAGTGTCTTCGACCACTGCAAAGTGCAGCACAAGCCCCTGCTCCAAGTGTTCCTATTTTTAGGTCTGTGGGGAAATATGGAGCAATGATTATCGTTATATATTTTCATTCTTTCAGCCTTCAACAGCAAACTGTAATGGCTGTATTCAACTTGCCTGCTTTAAAGGTCTCAAGCAGAGTCCCAGAGAGACAGCAATCTGAATTGCTCCATGAAATGTTGGTCTCTGAGCCTCACCCATCTCACCCAGCTCTGTGTGGTGAGTCCCCAGCAGCATCTCCCCCAGGCCCAGCACACACTTCACACACCTTTGCCTTCAGGTCCCCAGTGAATAACGACAGGATGACACTTGGAGACAGCTTGGGCTGCTGGCCCCTGCAGGGTGGAGCTGCCTCTTTGCCTAGGACTAGATGGTGGCTGCAGTTGTGGACAGGACTCCAGGGCAGCCAGTGCCCAGCGTGTTGTCATCTAGAACTCCTGTGGAGGGCTAAGGGGAAAGTTTTCTGTGCTCCTGAGCACTGGTTTGGGCAGTGTTCCTTTGGAAGCATGGCTGGAAATGGAGCTTCCCAGCTGGCCAACCCCTGCAAGTCTCAGCAGGTGCCATCCTGCCCACTCCACCCTCAGTGCCAAGTGAGGATCTTGGGAGCCTGCCACTGAATTCAAAGTTGGAGCCAAGACCAAATTTTGTTTCTTTTCAGAGAAGAATCATATAAAAGGCAGTGGAAGGGTTTCTGTGCAGTGCTGTAAGGAAAAATTTCAAAGCAGTTAACAGAGCCATTGGGTTTGTAAGGACAAACCCTTTTCTTCCAGCTGTTCTGCAGCCAGAATGCTGCAGCCCTAAGGAATGGAAGGGGAGCTGCCCTTGATGTTTCATTGTCCATTGACATAAAAAGCATAATAAAGAATGAAAAATTACGTTATGAGTTTTATTAATCAAAACTGGTAGTAAAGTAGCTGAAGTCTTTTTAAACCATGTTTCTCTCTAATGGTTATGTTTTGTGAGACTTGCCTTGGTTACTGAAAACCTTGCACTGCTGGGATAATGGTGTGGAAGTCAGGAGGTTTAAGAGCTGGAAGGATGGCTGAGCAGGTGAGAGGAACACTCCATCACCCTATCAGTGGGTTTGTGTTTACAGTTCATTAGCCCATGTTTAACAATACCACCCTGCCAATTTAAATCACAGCTGGATTCTTCCAAATTTTGAGATTATCACTCTCTGAACAAAATCTTTCTTTTCCTTTAGCTTGCAGATTCGCTGGTGCCCTTGGAGATTAAGCCTGGTATTTCCTTAGCAACAGTTTCTGCTGTGTTGCATACTAAAGACAACAAGCATGTGCTGCAGGTACAGTAGAATGGGAAAGGGAGAAAAATGTCTTTACACCATGTTTCCTGCCATCTGGGACCCCAGCTGTTCTTGTGAGGCAACCCCTCCAAAAACTCTCTCCCCAGGGGCGCAGAGTCCTTGTCAGGTGCTTTGTCCTGGCATGTGTGAGTGAGGAATGGCACTTGGAGCAGAGAGTGGGATGCAAATAAATCTCTCCACCTTCTTTGTTGGCCAAGTGCCTGGCTAAGATAAAAGGGGAAGTGAGATTATTCCTGAAGAGAGGCTACAAATCATAACCCAGACACCAGGCTCAGCATCAATCAGCCTCTCGTGGATTTATTACTGAGGGTCAGAGGAGGGAGATGACCTAAAACATTAGCCATGTGAAGGGACTGTCTTCCTTAAGTTGTCCTGTTCCCCAGGAAGCAGGTTGTGCACCCCTGCACAAACTCAGGGTGTGCACTCTCCTCCTGCCACCTCCTGTAGGCTGGCACTGCAGTTCCTGGCAGCAGTGCTCTGCAGGAGGAGATGGTGTCTGCTGGACCTGCTCAGCAGTGGGTGCCCTGTCCCCTCACCCCTTTGAGCACACAGGGAACTCAGTGAAGCCACACTCTGCACAACACTGCCTCTGCTGCTGGGGCTTCTCCTCCCAGCAGAGGGATGTCTTTATTGCAGGGCCATGGGGCTTGGCCAAGGCTTTAGCTCAGTGCCCAGCAGAGAGGCTGCCTGGCTGTTCCCAAGCTGTTCCCTAGAAACACAAGACAACACTGAAACAATGGCAGAATGGCAGTGCCAGTGGTCTGAGGCTGCTCTCTCCTTTGTGGTGTTCATTTACTGTCTTCTCCACTCTGGTTCCTGATGCCAAATAAACTCAGACCTAGGCTTGAAATGCCAGAGCCCTCCTAAATGGGTGGAGGTAAGGGGGAGCTGCCAGTACTGGCTGAGCCCAGGGCCTCTGGGAGGTACAGGAGCTCTGTGGAGACAAGCCCCAAAACTCCACCTGTGAACAGAGAACCACGTGAATGATTCCTGCACAAATGCCATGGTAGATGCACAAATACCATGGCACCTGAACAGCCTTCCCTGGCTGCAGGAGGGAGCTCAGGACCTGAGAGCAGCAGGTTCAGACCGCGGTGGGAGGGACGTGGTGTTGGGAGGGGCTGGGTCTGTCCCTGCAGGGTGCTCCAGGGTGCTGGGCTTGCCTCGGGCACGTTCCCCCTTGTGCAGCCACATCCCTGCCAAATGGCCTTGCCAAAATTTTGGAGATGTTTTCCTCAGCCCCTTTTCCCCAGGGACTGAGTTGCTGGTTCGCTGGGAAAGCCCAGTGCTGACACTTCCCCCACCTAACTAACTTGGCACAGGACACACAGACTTGTTTTACATGGTAATTTCCTCCTTAATTATAATAAGTAATAGGAATCTGGTTTTCATCTGCAAGAAATGCTCTTTTAGAAGAGCTCTAAGTGCCCAGTGCTGGGTTGGCAGCCGTGGCTGCACGTGCCAGCCTTGCCTCCCCTCCGTGCTGCTGGAGGAGCCTCCTGGGAGGAGTTCAGGCAGATCCTTTCTGAACAGTCCAAAATTAAACCCAGGTCACACTCCAGTGATTTTTCAGGCACTGCAGCATCTCTCAAGCCTCCCTGTCTGTATTCACGTTCTTCCTAAAGACTCACTTGTCTGAGGCCAGCGAGATATAAATTACCCATTTTTCTCATTCCTTGAGTAGTTACTTGCTCTGAATTTGCCCATTTCTCAACTTGTTGCAACTTCAAAGTTGCTTTGACTTTTAGAGAAGCGTTTGCTGCAAGAATGCTGCAAAGCATTGACTTCTTCAAGACATGATTCCTAGAAACTATTGCAGAGTAGCTGAATGCTAAAATGGAAAGCTTCACTCGTGGATTGCCAGACAGGCCTTTTAACACAGGGAAATTTGAACAGGGCTGAATTTGTCAGAAATGTTAAGATGACAGAGATTTGAGCTAAAGCTGCTGGTTTACTTCCAGCAGTGGTGGTGTGTGTGCAGAGCTGCAGTGGAGCCCAGGGCTGGGTTTCTCCTCTCCCTTCAGCACTGCCCTGCTGCCTTTCGGTCACAGGAAACAAAATGAGTATTCCTGCTCTAGCTCATGTTCTCCCAATTAAACAATCGTAACGAGCTGCTGTGGTTCTCTGCTTTCTGTGCCCTTCTCACCCCTCAGCTCCCTCCCAAACCTCCACAACCTCCCCCTGGCAAGAAGAGGAAGCGGGTGAGTGAGGACGTGCCCGAGTGCAAGCCCCTGAGGCCGCTGCTGAGCGGCTCCATTCCCGTGGAACAGTTCGTGCAGACGCTGGAGAAGGTAACCAGCCCTTGGTGGCAAGTGTGTCAGCACTGGTGTGCCCAGCAGGGGCAGGGCAGGGATTGTCCCCCTCAACTCAGCACTGGGGAGGCTGCCCCTCAAATCCTGGGCTCAGTTTTGGGCCCCTCCCTCCCAGAAGGACCTTGAGGGGCTGGAGCGTGGCCAGAGAAGGGCAACGGAGCTGCTGGGGAAGGGTCTAGAGCCCAAGTGTGGGGAGGAGCAGCTGAGGGAGCTGGGGGTGCTGAGCCTGGAGCAAAGGAGGCTCAGGGGAGACCTTCTGGCTCTGCACAGCTCCTGACAGGAGCCTGGAGCCAGGGGGGGGTCGGGCTCTGCTCCCAAGGGACAACAGGACAAGAGGAAAGGGCCTCAAGTTGCCCCAGGGGAGGTTTCAGTTGTCCCTGAGGAACAATTTCTTGCCCTGGAGGGCTGCCCAGGGCTGTGCCAGGCTGCCCAGGGCAGTGGTGGAGTCCCCACCCCTGGAGGGGTTCCCAAGCCGTGGAGATGTGGGGTGAGGGACACGGGGCAGTGGGGACCTGGCAGGGATGGGGGAGGGTTGGACTCTATGATCCTAATGGTCTCTTGCAACCCAAACACTTCTAAGTGAGGTTCAATTGGATTTTTACTAATCCCAGAAATGTACAAAGAGCTGGCAACGAGGGGAAATAATCTCAGTGTGAGTTGACATGGAGAGAGACTAAGGAGCTGGCCCAGGACTTCAGGGAACACAGGTCCCTGCACTGGGTGTGGAGGGAGCAGTTCCCTCTGGAGTCACGTCCTGATGGAGGGGCTGCAAGTCAGTCATTCCCCTGATGTCCCATGGAAGCAGAGCTTGTGGCAGATCACTCTGGGCAGATGAATTTCCCCCATATAACTCTTGGATTCATCAGCTGATGTCCAATAAATGTGAACAGTGGGGAGAAGCTCTCCAAAGTATCAAAGTTCCTAAAAGTTCTGTGAAAATGATATGACAGAGAGGAGATCCTGGAAATGTCTCCAGTGATGGAGAAGCTTTGTGGGGAGCTCTAGGTCGGGGGGCTTAGGCAGGCAGTTGGTCACTGCTCCATGGAGCCCTGTTGTTGCCTGCATGACTCCTTGGAGAGCATCAGCAGGAGAAAGGGCAGCACTCCAAAGTATCAAAGTTCCTAAAAGTTCTGTGAAAATGATATGACAGAGAGGAGATCCTGGAAATGTCTCCAGTGATGGAGAAGCTTTGTGGGGAGCTCTAGGTCGGGGGGCTTAGGCAGGCAGTTGGTCACTGCTCCATGGAGCCCTGTTGTTGCCTGCATGACTCCTTGGAGAGCATCAGCAGGAGAAAGGGCAGCATTATGTGTGAGGTTTGCCTGGTTTTTTTTCATCAGCCTCTTTGGGGCAGTCATGTCAGCAGATGGTCATTCCTGTAGCTGCAGGAGCCATTTGTCCTCTGTGTCCCTGGAGGTTTTGCAGTTGCAGTGACCTGGAGCAGTGGGAGATGTTCTGCAGTTGCTCCATCTGCATCACTAGGGTCATATTTAGGTCAGCCCATGCGTGTCCCTGGTGCACACCCAGAGGCTGAGGATGTCTCAGTGGCACTCTGCACTTTGTAGCCATTCTCCCCTCCTTGCTGCACCCTCGTTTTTCTCCTCTGCCCCTTCTCCTGACCTGTGGTAACTTCTCCCTCCCCAACGCCACGTCCAGCACGGCTTCAGTGACGTGAAGGTGGAGGACACAGCCAAGGGCCACATCGTGCTCCTGCAGGAGGCAGAGACCCTCATCCAGCTGGAGGAGGACTCCACACACATCATCTGTGACAACGACGAGCCTCTGAGGGTGAAACTGCGTGACCTGGTTCTCAAGTTCCTGCAGAAGTTTTAGCTCCTGGACGTGGTGCTGCTCTGCAGGGAGAGGCCCCAGAGCCAAGGGCTTTCCAGAGGCTGAGCTCAGAGAGACCAGAGACCACCTTCCCCTTCAGGGAGAAGCAAGGAAGTATTTTTATTATCTATCTATTTTTTAATTTTATTTTTTTTTAACCAGGTTTCCAGATACTTTGGAGGAGATTCTTCTCCTGCAAGCTTAGGAGTTGGCATCTGGCAGGAGATATGAACCACAGAGTAACTAAATAGGGGGTGTGTGTCCAAGGTTAGGGTGAAACTGCACAGACCCCTCAGCAGTGTGTGGCCCTGCCCTTGCCTGAGAAGACTCTGTAGGAATATTAAAACAAAGGCCTTAGATATTAAGAGATTTATTAGATATTAAGAGATTTATTTTCCTCCCCACTGCTCCTTCCCGGGCACCAGACCCAACGTGCTGCCTGTGCTCCATCGAGACCCTGCACGTGTGGGACACTGGCAGGAAGGGCAGTGAGGGAGCTGGGGAGGCAAAGAGTAGAAAGGAAAACTAGAAGAGGAGGCCGTGGGTGCTGCAGCCTCACCTGCTGGGACCAGGTCTGTCCCTGAGGCTCCTCCTGGGGTCCTCTGGCATCAGTGGAGGCAGCATCTTGGGAAGATAATTTCAAAAGTACCTGAAGTAGTTAAAAACCTCCCCTGTGCCCATGGCAAACCTTTGGGATTTAACTGCCTCTTGTTTCTACCTTCCAAAGCCCTGTCCTTGCAGCCCCCACGGCCCCAAGTGCTGGCTGAAGCACTGCCTGATGCCTGCAGGTGTGGGGAGGGTTGTTCCTCCCAGAGTCAGAGCTGGGACCTAAACCGAGTTAATAACTCTGCTTTTAAAAGCAGCGACCCTTGGCTCAGATTTACCACTGCTTGGGTTTTTTTATTGGATTGTTTGGTATTTATTTGGTGTTAAAAATAAAAGGCACAGTCGGGCTGCCAAGGAGGAAGCAGATTCTGTGGTTTCTGAAAGCATCTGCAGGCCTGTCCCCCCTCCAGCCCCACGTGTGGCAGAGCTGGGGAGTGTCAGGCAGCTCCGGGATAAAAGCTGTCTGCCGGTGGCGGTCCCACCACCC